GTTTCCAGCTGCGCTGGACAAGTTTACTTAAGGGCCTGAGACCTGTTTAGTTAGTATTTTCTTGAGTATTCTTCTTTTAGGGTTTTTTTTTTTTGCTCCAGTTTTGGTAAAAATGATCTATGGAAAGAGTTTTTAATTCACTTTATATGTATTAATTAATTATATAGTAATATAGTATAAGTTAGTTAGTATCATTGAATTTCAAGATTACTAAGCTTTACTTTTTATTACTGAGCAATAACAAGTATACACTTATTTATTCAGTTCAGATCACTTCATCAACAGTTTTTTCATAGACTGTCACTTCACTAAAATTGTTTCACCAACATATTTATTTTATAGACATTAAATTTACAAACAATCAATTCACCAACATGTTTATTTTATTACAAGTTTATTTTATCGACACTAAATTCACTGACAATTAATATATTGACAAACTTATTTCACTGCAAACTTATTTCCCCGACAGTATAATTTACCAACAATTAATTTACTGACAAGCTTATTCACTAAAAGTTCATTTTGTTGACAATATATTTTACAGACAATTAATTCACCAAAATCTCATTTTGTAAACTGTATGATTCACCAATAGATTAGTTTATCTACAAGTAAAGCAAATTATTTTATGTGAAAAAAATTAGGCTCAATAAGAGTTGAAGCGAACTATTGATGTGAAAATAAGAAAAGTGAAGTCTGACCTTAATTATACAGAAAGTACATAATGAAGATCTTGACTCATTTTATGAAAAAAAGTCAAGATTAGTAAGAGTTGAATGAAACTATTTATATAAAAATAAGAAAAGCAAAACATAACCTTAATTATAAAGACAAGCATATAATGAAGACCTTGACTTATTTTGTAAAAAGCTAGGATTAGTAAGAGTTGAAGAGAACTATTTATATAAAAACAAGAAAAGTTAGACTTAACTTTAATTATACAAGACAAGCACCTTGACTAGATTTATAAAGAAAAAAAGAGTTGAAGCAAGCTATTTATGTAAAATATGAAAAGCAAAGCCTGACTTTAATTATATAAGGCAAGCACATAACAAAAATCTTGACTCATTTTATAAAAAACAAGTCAGGACTAGTAAAGTTGAATGAACTATTTAATAAAAAGAAAAGTGAAATATAACCTTAATTATGCAAGATAGTATGTAACAAAGATCTTGATTAATTTTTATAAAAAACAAGTCAGGATTAATAAGAGTTGAAGAAAAAAAATTTATATTAAAATAAGAAATACAAAATACAACTATAATTATACAAGGCAAGCATATAACAAAGATCTTGAGTAATTTTATGAAAAAGTCAAGATTAGTAAAAGTTGAAGTAAACTATTATGTAAAAATAAGAAAAGCAAAGCCTAACCTTAATTATACAAGGCAAGTATGTAATGAAGACCTTGAGTTATTTTATAAAAGGTCAGGATTAGTAAGAGTTAAAGTGAACTATTATATGAAAATAAAAAAGTGAAGTCTAACTTTAATTATGCAGAAAAGCACATAACAAAGACCTTGACTCATTTTATAAAAAGTTAGGATTAGTATAAGTTAAAGCAAACTATTATCTAAAAATAAGAAAGAGAAACCTAATTTTAATTATGCAGATAAGCATGTAATGAAGACCTTAACTTATTTTATAGAAAAAAAGATCAAGATTAATAAAAGATGAAGCTACCTATTTATATGAAAATAAGAGAAGCAAAATGTGGCCCTAATTATACAAGACAAGTATGTAATAAAGACCTTAAATTATTTTATAAAAAAAATTTAGTGAAAGATGAAATGTACTATTTATGTAAAATAAAAAAAGCAAAATGTGACCTTAATTATATAAAACAAGCATGTAATAAAGGACTTGACTAATTTTATAAAAAAAGTTAGAATTAATAAGAGTTGAAGCAAGCTATTTATATAAAAATAAAAAAAGCAAAATGCAACCTCTATTATACAAGACAAGTATGTTGTGAAAGAGAAAAGTTATATGTGATTGACATTGAAGTGGTTCGAGTTGATTTAACAAAATTAGGCAAAAGTTATCATAGCTAGTAAATATGGTAGCTATAGCATCTATATCAATGACAGTATTGTATATAAAAAAGAAATGACAGAAATGTTAGTAAAAATTTTGTACCAAAAGTCTCAAAATTTTGTCTAAAATAAAGACAATTCTCTTTGAGTTCAAAAACTATGAAAGTATTTGAGTAGTAGTTATTTTAAAGTATCTACTTAATAAGGGTATGGTGACTTAGTGAGGTTGGTAAGTTGTCGCACCCCCAAGCAGCAAGACAAGAGTTCGAATCCCACTAGCAATGAAATTCAAAATTTATAGAATGCGTTACGATATACTGTATAACATCCTTAGTCATACCAGCTTGTTCTGGAAGGCTGTGTAATAATGAGTTATGCAACTATGTAAATCTAGAGCTCATGTCTACAGCACATGGAAGCCTGCTTAGCAAGTCTTGAGTAGAGAGGTAGTACAGATCTTTGACAGTATTATGTAAAGGATTATTATCTGGGAACTGGACACTAGCAGTAAACTAAACAAGGACCAAGTATTTGACAAGCACTATACCAACTAGGCCACCAGCTAGCCAGAGGAAAAAGGATTCATTCAGAATATCAGAAGATGTCTCTCAGGCCATCTAAATTGGAAGTTTGGGCACTGTTAGTTGGTATCAAAGTACTGTTGATAATCTATAAAGTAGTATCACAGGTTAATAAGTGACTTTCACCACTAAAAACCTAGCTCAAACAGCAAGCACCACGTCGAATGACTCCAACGGTGATTCAAGCACACACACTCAAGGTAGGTATTTTATTATTAACTTATTATGTTCTATCTTACTGCAAGCAAAAGCACTACTCACTAATTCATTTATTTTCACTTTTCTTTTAAATACAAATTCTATTACTAATTACTTCATACGTTGATCACACCATTTTAACTCCCTTATTATTTGATCATGCCATTTTAACTTTTAAATTAACTATGACATATTTCTTATGCACATTGTTTAATTTACATTTGTATTACTAATCTCTGCATCGTTCTCATGAATGTTCGGTCACTGATCCCAATTCTGGTCAATTGTCACACAGGCACATGATTACGTGACAATTAATCGATTCGAAACTACACTACACACCAAGTACATCAAATACTGGTTCTCACCGTGATACGAGCTAGATCCCCGGAACTTCGTCACTGAAGTTTCCACTTGCACAAAATCCCAATTACCTAATACAGACATATGTACTCCCATCTTAACAACCATCCTCACATGTACACCATTTTACACGAATCTAAATATACTAAATAACACATACTTTCATGTATAGTCTATCTTCTTATTTCGGTACTTCCGTCTTTATTACTAATTGTCACATAATTGTATTTTACTTCAGTATTCTTATAACTGATTGTCGCTTAATTCTATCTTACTTTGGTATTTATACCAACTGCTCATAATTCGATCTCACATCTACAACTCTGCTCAATCAACACATAAATTACATAAGTCATGTGCTCATGACAATTCATTTGAACCTCCTTGAAGACAACTATCGATCCTTCATTATTCAATTCAATTTTTTTTTTTTTTTTCATATCATAAATATTATATTATAGCATCCCAAACATTAATTAATGCTTTTCCTTGATCAAATATATATCTCATCAGCAACATATTGCAACCATCGCCTATTCGTTTTCGACCTTTCACTTTGCTACGGCATACAGCATCCCATTTACTTCGACCAACTTCTTTATCAAGATCCTTAAAACCATTAAGCTTCAGAGTACTCAACATTCCAGCTTTTGCATCTTCATGTCAACAACTCAAACTGATCAACCTTATGAAACCTTCAGCATAGTCCACAGCTTTTAACATTCTAATCAACACATGCACCTGATTCAATTGATCCACAGACAAATCCCTCACTTTAACAGTCTTCTCACATTTATCATCAAATCTAGAAACACCTATTTCATTTTCGCGGCAATTTGCAGGATCGTTCGTTTCATAATTCTGTTCAGGTGAGTTTTCGGATTTTCTATCACCCATTTCATCACCATTTACCAACCTAACCTTTACATCCTTTCTTCCAATTTCGTCAATCCCCACTTCACGGCTTGTTTTATTGATTGCTTGTTTCTCTTTATTATCTATTTCCTGTTCATTACTATTCACTTCTTTCTTCATCACCTCATCTTCATCAACATCCAAATACCATTCAAATAGGTTGCAAACAGGTACCTCAGACTTTCGTTCATCTTTTTCAATGCTCATCCCATTTTAGTAACATTGTCTAACACTATACGTTCCAGCAAAATCTTCCATCTCTACAGATTTTTGATGATTAATGGATTCTTTACACTCATTTGAGTCAGGTACATTTTTAATCTTTATTTCTTTTGTCTGTTTTATTCCATCATTCGTTTCACTAATTATATTCATCACTCTTTCATTTATTCCATTATCACCACCTTGCTCAACATCTTTCAATCTACAATCCTTATATACCATCCAATTGTTTGTCATACCAACATAACTCGCTGTATCAAATAACCTTTGCCGTAATTCGATCCATGTCTTTGTGCTTCTACATACTTGTTTAACCCATGCCATCTCACTTTTTGCAACATACAACACCACACATGCTGATTTCATATCATTGTCCCATCCTCTAATTTTGGTATATGCTTCATATTCCCAAAGAAAGTTCACTATCACTATTGCATCTCCACCTTCGTAATAAGGTTCTATACTTTTGGCATCAGGTTTCTTTGGTACCAGCGAATAAAGACAGTATAATAAGCAACTAGGTATGTATAGTCAATTTATTGCTCCTATAATTCGTTATAATATTCAGTAGTAAATATTAATTAAAATTTTTTTTTTTGTTGTGTTTGCTTGGAAGTTGTTATACCTGTTATTGATATGTTGGTTAATCTGCTCTTTATGATTTGCATTATTTTCAATTTGCCTTACTGTGTGTATCGTTTTTTGATAGGATTTGATTTGCTCATACATTTGGTTTTCTCATTAATTGTTGGGTTTCTGTTGCCGCTAGTTTGTGATTTTCTGTATACTTTTTTTATGTCTTCTATATTTGTTGTGTCCTCTTTATTGTTTTTTAGATTTCTGGGTATTTTGTTAATTTCTGTTAGTGCACTGTGTAGTTTTGTAGCTTTTGCCGAGAATGCATAGTAGGTCTTTGGTCTGACTTTTGTTCTTGGTATGTTCTTTTTTGTCGCTGTTGTTACTGTTGTACACAGTTGATTCCATGTCTTATTCAGCTTCTATATATTTGTAATCATTGTTGCAATCTTCATATTGTTGAGTTTAGTTGATATATCTTGCGCAAAGTTTTCCCATGAGTCATTAGTCATTTCATTATAT